ATTTTTGTGTAAGATATTACATTCTGAGCCAGTAGACCACCACAGTCGGGGTCCTTTAGGGCTGATGTTCAGCCGGGTTTACGGGGCAAGCGCAATGAAGCACCGCGGCCTCGACCCAGAAGAAGGAACGGGGGTATTAGCTAGCAAGAGCCTGACACTCCCGCCTGACTCCGGGCGGGAGTGTCAGAGGTCATTGGATGATTTTCCCCTCACAAAAAAAGGTGTCAATTTTAAATAAAAATCTGGCTCATTGGTCTATGCCTAGACTGAAGAAAAACCTTGTGTTTATTATAAGGCTGTTATAGTTTTAATAGGTCAGCATTTCACAACATTATAACTGTACCAACATATGTTATGACATTGTTTGCATCAATCATTATTAGTGGCTATGATGGGGGGAGGACGGGATCATCGGTATTACTAATACGGAAATCTAATGAAAATTTACTCTTTCAGGATGTACATTACATTCCAAGACGAGCCTACTGGTAACGTCGGCTTCAAAGGCACCACTTTCCATGCTATCTTTGGATAAATATTTTATTTTTTACATTTCTTCGTCTCTAGTTTGTTGTAAGAGTTATTCGCAATATTGCTTATTATGAGTCACATTTTTAAGCGTTATTTAAATATTTACTACATAAGTATAAAACAAAGACACTTTTTCTGTACCTATATGAAGGCACCGGGGGGTTGGTACCAACTTCAACAACTCAATCATCGTCTTCACAGTCCATCGCAGGGCGTAGGATTTTATAGGTAATCAGACTGAATAAATTACAAAAATAACGGACGTCGGCGATTCGTCTCCTATCACAGTCACAGCGCTCGCTTTCAACCATAATGCGCACGCAGAACTGTCTGTTTGACGTTCCGCCAGAGTACGATTTATGGTACCCTCGTCCGATGAATTGTGATCATAAAACCTCCTTCAAAATTCAATTTAAATAATCGACGCGCCGTCATATATATTACATTGATGCTGTTTTTAGTAGATATTGTGATTGAAGAACAAAGTTTATATGTATAATAACATCCATTGACTTTTGGAGAACGCGCGCGCTACTCATGAAGTCATGAATAAGAGTCGTCATGACTTGAATCCAGTAGAGGTTTTCGCAGTTAATTCACGAGAATAAGTAGTAATTTTTTAATGAATTATGTCTCACTATAGTTACTATTATTACAAAATGTTTCAAGGCTTACAACAATCAATCTACTAATGTTTTCCACGGAACGATTACCTACTAAAGTGCCTAAAGCCTAAGTGGCCAGCCAACTCTCGCTGAAGATGTTGAATTGTTGACGTCTCGCATTTTTTCTGTTTTTCTTACAACTTTAGGCATGACGTCTCCAAAAGTAAAACGGCTGTAATACAGTCTACTCTATTGACCGAATCATATTTATGAGTTAATTCAATTAACTCATACTAAGCAACATTGCGAAAAAAAGTGTGCCCTATATTTTGATACCTTTTTTTAATTTAATTATTTGGTTTCAGTGTGCCTCGAATATTGGGGTGAATAGAATTTGAGTTGTGAATAGATACACGAATGGGGCGAATTTTTGTAATATCAATTGACTCCTCTTCTGTCTCGATTCACCCTTCGAATTCTATACACCCCGTTTCACCGTACTTGCTTAAGGCAAGTTACTCATTATTTCCATTGTTCATGTCATATGTTATTTAAGTATCATGTTAAAAAGGGGGGGGATTAACGCAGTATTAACAGTTTCATAAAATCATATAGGTATTTAGATATGGTGTTAAAATATATTCCATTGCCTTTACCAATCACAGCTAATTTTCAAAAACGAGGTGGAATCATTACTTATTCATAGACAATACGAACAGTAATTCAATTCGAATTCAACGTGCATTCTCATAAAGTTGATTGCAAACTAGTTCTCACGAATATCATTAAAATCATTACGAATAAAAATTCAAATATTTTTGTTGTTGTACGCAGATTTAATAAAAATGACGGTCGAAAATACGGTAGTTTCCAACTAGTAAAATTCAAACAATCCAAATTTCAAAAACGATACTTTTCCATGAAATTTGTATGAAAAACTGAGTTATTACGTCATAGTATTTATAGTCAAATAGCTTACTTATTTCTTAATAATTAGCTATAAAATATCTAAAACTTAGTATAATAAAATATTTTAAGTGTATTTAACTTGAGTAATTAGCTGGAAACTACTATTTTATCACCCTAGGCTGATTTTGCAATGGTTAGATAAAAGTTATCTGCGGAATAAGTGATGCTGTCGCGTCGGAATGTTTGTTGAAAAATCAGCCCTTGAACCCGATTCATGTGTGCAGCACAAAGTTCATACATTTATAGCTGTTGTAGCTACAAATTAATTACAAAAATCCAGACATTCTCAAACAGGTCCTAAATATTGTAATAGCTTTTTATTTTAAACTACGCATTTTAAGTCTTATTTTGTTTAAGTTTACTTTTAATTAAACATTTTAAATTAGAATAATCCCACTGGTAAGCGAAATATTCTTTGATATACCTACTTATTTGTTTGTTAAGTGTATGATTTGATTATAACTTCATATTTACAATGTTATATTTTATTGTTGTTAATATTTTACAGCTGGTGTAAAAAATGTTTATCGTATCTATATAAAATTAGAGTGTTAAGAGTAACTTGTATTTTTGAGATGGGACAAATAAATTGTTTAAATATTTTTCTTGAATTTTCGCTTTATTTCTTATTACGTCCCTCCTTATTTAGTGTGTATTCTGTGTATCAATAATTGTTTCACAATTCATTGCACGTGTGATGACATAACACAATACATAACAAAAATGGCGCCAAATACCATCGATGGGCACAGACAATTTGATTCATCCTAATTAGGTATTTTACTTAGCACCATGACGGTTCTCTGTGAATTCCCATAATTCAGCCTAATTGGTACACCTCTTTAAAAAATATGACATGTTTTTTAGCAATACATTTTTAATAATTATATTATAATAATAAGTCACGAAAAAATTAAATTTAGTTGGAAGCATGTAGAATTATAAATATTGGGAAAACACTAGGTTCATTGACAAAAGGCTTTACGTGGTGGTAGTAATACCTCTGCTTTATCCAGGAATTCTGGACCTCTCATCAAAGGCTTGTATCTCGTTACGACTCGGTAGGATGGATTTAACAATTGGGTAGTTTCTTAGATCAAAATTAATTGTTTTGAAGTTTTCTATACATATTAACAATCTAATTATACTTTCATTCATGAATTTGTCGACATACTTACCTAATTTTAGACTTTTCCATTTGACCTTAAAATATTATCACGTCATATGTTGCGATGTCATACGAAATTCATAGAAATATAATACCTAATAGTTTTCGACAGTTGGAAACTACCGAATTGTTGGGTAAGTATGCCTAGGTACATCATGTAGAGCTAGACGAACGTTTGTTCCCATTTTCAAAAGGTACGTAAGTGATTTATTTTTAACCCTTTCACTCCATATCAAACGTGATGTCAAGGCGAACCATGCTATGACTTCATGAGTCAGTTGAAATACTTTTAAGATTTATTTGACGTCTATGCTTACCGTACCGCTGCAGTGCTCTAGTAGTCTCTACTCAATAACCAAGGTGTTATTATAATTAAGGTGTGGTAGATAGATAAGTAACCACAGATTTTAATTTGCTATAAAATAATGAAAAATGTCTATTTAAACTGACTACAAATATAAATAAGGCAAGAAAGAACTTGCTATATTTAATTTTATGGCTGAACATTGAGTCTTCAGACAGTTCTTTCTTTATAAAACACTACCAGCTTCAGTAAAGGTTACCTACTAAATTTCCTTCATGAAAACAGACAACGCTAAACGACTATGTAAATTACGTACCTTCGTCAGTTAATTAAGTTGGTATTTTTGATAAAAAAAAATCCAGTTTCCCTTAAGCACATTGATATATTTTCACCGTGAAGGTAAATGTTCTATTTCTACCCTGATAGCAGAGAGAACGGCAAAAAATGAGACGGGTCTGCGGACTTCGAGTAGGGGTAGGTAGTTCGCCGACCAACTGCGTACGGCTCGTGACACACCTTAAAGAGCCGTCATAGCACCACAGGTGGCGCCCACCTAGGTCGATGCCCGGCCGTGGTCGCGAGCTTAAGTACAATATTGTTTCGTAGCCCAGTTTTGGAGAAGGATGATGGTTGGCAGTCAACAACTGTGCGATTCACGCAAAACTTTCTGCCCCGCACAGAAAAACTTAGGAATGATCTTTCGGCAGCGGTATTCCCGAACCGATACGACCTTCAAGAAACGAGCGTATTCCTTGTTAAAAGGTCGGCAACGCAGTACGCACCTGTGATTGCTCTCGTGCTGCAGGTGTCCGGTGCCGATAGCTTACCATCAGGTGATCCGTATGCTCGTTGGCCTCCTATTCCATAAAAAAAGGAACAGGATTTTTCACCCAGGGCCGGAGAAGTGATGGACGACATGGACGCCGAATAGATAGACAATCTCCTGCTTAGTCAATTCAGTCCCAAAATATAGGTTAAGGTTAGGCTAAATGTCGGTTATCCCACCGCCCATTGGTCCCATTGGGTGACATTTGCGAATAACTATTGTAACCTTTTTTTTGTAAGGGGAAAATCATCAAATGACTTCTCCCGCCCAGGGCCGTGGGAGGGAGTAATAGACTCTTACTGACTAAAAACCCCCTGTTCCTTCTCCTGCTCTAGGCCAAGGTCGCGGTGCCTCATTGCGCTTACCCCGCAACCCCGGCAACTATTATAACCTACGTATGTAATTTTGAGTTGTGTGTAAACGGGAAATAGTCTCCACTATAGTAGTAACGAAGTTTGTTCAAATATAGCGTGATCTATCTATTTGGTAAGGTAATAGGTTATAATAATTTCATGAATAGGTTTTGCTCTTTTTACAGTTTGCCAGTACCTAAATAGGTAAGTGCTAAGTAGTAAATGAAATTTATTTTTATTTCAGGATGTACATCACATTCCAAGACAACCCATCAGGGAATGTTGGATTCAAAGGAACCACCTTCCATGCCATACTGGGACAATAAATAAGATTTCGACACATTCTTATCTGGGAGATAAGCTTGGACTTAGTGACCTGTATAATAAAGGCTAATGTATAATAAATACTTTTAAGCACTTTTAAACGTTGTTGTGTCATTTTGATCAAGCTATACCTACTTATATAAAAAGTAAGACTTAATATAAGTAGGTAGGTATATTGAGGGTCTTTGTATTGAGCGATGAGGCTTTTTTTCAATTTAACTTAGAAATAATAAATTTGATTGTATGGTTTACGGGTTGGCTGAGCAACTGGGTAATCTGCTGCCATGCAACGTGTCGCGAGTTCGATGCCCGCACAGAACAATTCTTTTTGTAATCCTCAAATTGTTGTTCTGGGTCTGGGTGTGATGTGTATGTGAAATTGTATGTTTATAAACGCAATCACGACAACGACACAGTTAAAAAAAAGAAAACTATAAACCTCTAACTTTTAACTGACGATAAGGTATAATTATATACCTTTTAAACCGTTATTGAGAATAGTGTTCCCTAGAAGCGAAAAAATAATTTAACATGGATGAAGTCGCGGCTATAAGCTAGTACAAAAGTAAAAGTAAAACGTTATAGTAGAAACTCTTATCTATATAATATATTGTTACGTGCCTGACGTCACGTTCCTGACTATGCGGGCTTGGGTTACGGGATTGGATGAAATGAAACACTAATACCGGTTTTCAGACTTTCTATTGCGCTTAAGTTACAGCGTCCACGGAGTTAAGTTATCGGCGTTCCTCTCCAGCAGAGTCCGGCCGACTGACACAACTTTGCCGTTCACGCTAACTTCACTTAACTGACTGCACTTCACTATTTCACTGCACTTCACTATTTCACTCACTTTTCTTCTTTTTCACTTCTTCCTTTTCTTCCGAATCGCTTTAGACTTAGAACTCAACTGCCAGCGGTGAGCCGCAGTTCCGCTTATATACCCCCGGTCAGGTTCTAGAACATTCAATTTCGTTATTCTTTTTTGATCGTCATGCCTCCAGAACCTTCCAATAATTTCGTTATTCATTTTTATATATTCTCCTTCTCGCTCCTTAATTTTTCATTACTTTCACTCAAATATTCCAGAAAGTTCGACAAAACTTCCATCAACTAAAAAACTTCATGTTTACGGCGGGACTCGAACTCGGGGTCTCTGTGGTGTAATCCACACGCCTTACCGATTACACCAACTCGTGTTGACAATTCACGACGAAATTTACAATCTCTAGGCAACGTTTGACAACCATCCATTGACGTCATGATGTCAGAGTTTTCTGTCACACTGCCCCCCTCTTAGATTCGCTCGTCCCGAGCATCGTTGCTGCCGTAATACCTCGCCAACCTGTCTATATGGACAACTTTCAAAGGGCTCCTTGAAGACTTCCGAATTCTGTAAGTAATGTCATTGATCTTCGTGACTATCTCGTAAGGACCTTCCCAACTCGGTTGCAGCTTTGGAGATTTTCCCTTCCTTCTGACTGGATTATGAAGCCAGACCAATGACCCCTCTTCAAACCCAACAGAATTGGCTCGTCGATCATAGCGCGTCTTTGCGCGATCACTAGCTTGAAGACCGGCCTCCCTGATCTGCTCATAAATGTCCAACATTTTTGCCCTTAACTCGCTTATGTAATCGCTAAACTCGGTGCGAGAGTCACCAGGTGGACAGCCCGATACAAGATCTGCCGGTAATCTCAATTCCCTTCCAAAATTTGCAAATGCAGGCGTCTTTGCGGTACTTTCATGTACAGCAGTCCGATAGGCAAGCAAGAAGAGAGGTATGTAAGTGTCCCAATCTCTCTGATGGCTGTCAACCACCTTTGCTAAGTGTCGCTCCAATGTTTGGTTGAAGCGTTCGACCATTCCATCTGACTGTGGATGATAAGGGGTCGTTCGAGTCTTATGGATTCCCAAAAGTTTACAAGTTTCCTGGAAAACTTGGGATTCAAAGTTCCGTCCTTGATCACTGTGCATCTCCAAGGGCACTCCGAATCGGGTGAATACCTCGTTTACCAACTTCGTGGCTACAGTTACTGCCTCTTGATTCGGTATGGCAAAGACCTCCGGCCATTTTGTAAAATAATCCATAACCACTAAAACGTAGCGATTGCCCGAATCAGTGATTGGAAATGGTCCAGCGATGTCTAAGGCTATTCTCTCCCAAGGCATACCAACATTGTAGATTTTCATCGCCCCTCTGCTTCTTGTTTGTGGACCCTTGACAGCTGCACAACTAGTGCATTTCCGGCACCAATCTTCGACGTCATATTTGCAATGCAACCAATAAAACCTCTCCTTGATCTTCACCAAAGTCCTCCTAATTCCCAAATGTCCTCCAGAAGATCCATCATGGAACGCTTTTAATACATCCCTTATTTTTGAACGAGGCACCACCAATTGCAAATGCTCGTCCTTGCCGTTTGTTGATTCCCATTTCCTGCACAGAAGTCCGTTATGCAGCGTAAGGCTTTTCCACTGTGCCCATAAACCTTTCGTTACCGCGCTATATTGGGCGACGTCACTCCAACTTGGCTTGTTACCACTTCGTAGCCACTCCAGTATTGGTTTAATATCTGCATCTCTTTCCTGTTCTAATTTCATCGCATCATCTCCCCATGCCTCGTCAACAGTATCAGTCCTTATCACCTTAAGAAAAGCAGTTTCCTTCTTGGCACAATGCTTGCAATCTTCCACGCATGGGCGTCTCGATAATGCATCTGCGTTGCCATGAATTCTTCCGCCGCGATGTTCGATTTCAAAGTCAAATTCCTGAAGTTGTTCCAACCATCTGGCTACTTGGCCTTCGGGATCCTTAAACTGAAGCAGCCATTTCAAAGCAGCGTGATCAGTTCTGATCAAAAATTTCCGTCCCAGTAAATACTTCTTGAAATGGTGCAGAGTTTTGACTACGGCCAGCAATTCCCTCCTGGTCACGCAATAATTCTTCTCCGGCTTGGATAGTGACTTGCTGAAGTAAGCAATAACCTTCTCCTGCTCACCATCGCGTTGTGAAAGGACACCTCCTATTCCAATATTGCTGGCATCCGTATCAACTACGAATATTCCTTTCGCGCTGGGGTATCCGAGAATTGGTGTGTTACAAAGCCGTTCTTTTAGTTCTCGAAAGGCTTGCTCACAATCCTCGTCCCAGATAAAGGCACGTTTCTCCTCTGTCAATCGATGCAAAGGCTTGGCAATGTCCGAGAATCCTTTCACAAACCGCCGATAATACGAGCACAATCCAAGAAATGCCCGAACTTGCGTTTTGTCTTTAGGTGTTGGCCATTCCTTAACAGCGGCAGTCTTGGCTGGATCAGTCTCAATTCCTCTCTCAGAAATAACATGTCCTAGATAATTCACTTCGCGCTTGAAGAAAGAGCATTTCTTTGGACTCAACTTTAAATTTGCTCCACGCAGCTTATCGAGTACCTTTTCCAATTTCCTTAGATGATCGTCAAAATCCCGTCCAACAATGATGATGTCATCGAGGTAAACTAGGCAGGTTTCGCCCAGCAGTCCCGCCAGCACCTGTTCCATCAAACGCTCAAAGGTTGCCGGTGCATTGCATAATCCAAATGGCATCACCTTAAATTGCCAGAGTCCCTTCCCAGTTGAGAATGCGGTCTTTTCCTTGTCCTTGGGATCCAAATCCACCTGCCAATAGCCGCTTTTCAGATCGAGCGTTGAAAACCATTTCATGCCACTCAGTGTGTCAATTGTGTCATCGATTCTTGGTAACGGGTAGCTATCCTTCTTGGTTACATCATTCAATCGTCGATAGTCTACGCAAAACCTCGTTGAACCATCTTTCTTCTTGACAAGCACGACAGGTGAAACCAAGGGCTAGAAGAGGGCTCTATCACGTCATTTTTCCTCATATCGTCAATCATTTCTTCAACCTCTTTCTCACGAGCGAATGGTATGCGTCTGGGCCTTTGACGAATTGGCATTGTATCACCTGTGTTTATTTTATGCTTCACCAAACCAGTTCGGCCAATATCACCATCGCTTCTTGAAAACACATCAGAGAATCGAAGAAGTAAATTTCTAGCTTTCATAGTCTCCACTTTTGTCAGACTTTTGTTTTCGTCTAAGATTTTCGTTACAAAGTCAATTCCCGTACTGTCCTTCTTCACAAGATTCTCCGAGCATTTTCTTATCCAGGCCACTTCTTCCAATACGCCCACAGGCTCTCCTTCTTCAATCGTAATTTTTGAATCACTGAAGTTGAATACCGGAATGCGGTTGACATCAGATGACCCAACGACAGTTCTCGCCGGTAGCCATGAGTTTACGTGTTCCGATTTATCAATCACAGCGCACCTTAGAGGTAAACTTCCTTCCCTCCTCCTAGGTAATGCGATTGGTACGAGAGTCTGTGATTTTGGTTCAAGAACAGTTCTTCTTAAACAGCAAACTTTTCCCAGGGTTCCACCCTTCATCGGAATTTCCTCAGTTCCACATAGTAATACTCCAGATTTTAAGTCGATGTTACACTGGTGCCCTTGCAGGAAGTCAAGTCCCAGGATGCAGTCATCCAGAATTTTGGCCACAATAACCTCATGTCGATAAACACGTTCCCCAATTTTGATTGTTACATGCAGTTTTCCACTTATCGGTATGCACTGGCCGGTAGCTGATTTCATTCGTAGGCCAACAATTGGTTTAACGTGTTTCCTGATGTTTTGCCCGAGCAGCCGAACATTTATCACCGTCCTTGAAGCTCCAGTATCTAATGTTAGCTGACTGTTTTTCCCATTTACTTGACCGTCTATCACCAGAGTATTTCCATCGTTAGTTTGCTTGATGTAGATTGTTGGGGTTATTCCACTACCGGCCAGCGCCCACCCCGCAGCCCTGGCTGGATTTAGTTTCCCTGCTGGTCAGAAGTTGAGACCGCCGCGTCCTGGCGGTTCACCTTCTTCGGGCAGTCGCTCCGCATGTGCCCACGCTCTCCGCATCCATAGCACATGAAGTTCCGACGGCGTGGAGGTACCTGCTCCGTTGTCGTCATTTCCCGCAGACGTAAGGTACGGGAGTTACCACGCACGGCTTCCACTTCCAATGCATGGGCCAGAGCTTCTTTCATGTTCTTGTGATGGCCCAGATGAACAGCAGCTCGTACTTCGGGGTCCCGAACACCGTCAATGAATGCTTGGAGAAGCGTGCCTTCAATCATTGATGGAGTCGACCGAAAAGCTCGACGCACAAGTTTCTCGATTTCCACGGACCATTGCTGTAGACTCTCATTAGCACGCTGAGTACGCTCTTTTAATTGCGCTCTGTACACGTGCTCGAGGTGGCTGTCTCCAAAACGTGCCTCAAGTGCGTCGAGGAGGGTACTAAAGCTGAGATCCCCACTTGCGCCGATAGCTTCCAGCACTGAGAGCGCTTGATCACGGAGGGCCAGGGTGAGGGCTGACTGTGCTTCCTTCTGAGTCCAACCATAAGCCTCCATAAGTGTCTCAAACTGTAGCTTGAACGCGGTCCAGGATGTTGTTCCGTCGTAATGGGGAATCTTCAGCCCTTTCGTTGCGCTTGAGGCCGCATTTGGGGCGTCAAAAACGGCTGCAAGACGGCTTCGGCTCTTCAAAGGGCTTGGGCTTGTCACTTCCTGCTTGATTTTGGAGATCTCTTCTTCCACTCTCTCCTCTATCGCCATGACGCGATGTTCCAACTTGCCTAAACCTTCCTCCACTTCTTGTACCCGTTCGACAGCCTTTTGCAGTCCCTTCGTGAAATCTTTATGCATGTCCTCCAAGCGACGCGCTTGCTCCTCTTGGCGACGAGCTTGATCTTCTTTCAGCTCCCGCAGCTGTTCTGACTGACAGCGTGCTTGCTCTTCTTGGCGGCGCGCTTGCTCTTCTTGGCGGCGCGCTTGCTCTTCTTGGCGGCGCGCTTGATCTTCTTTCAGCTCCCGCAGCTGTTCTGCCTGACAGCGTGCTTGCTCTTCTTGGCGGCGCGCTTGATCTTCTTTCAGCTCACGCAGCTGTTCTGCCATCATTTGCCGCAGCTGTAGCAGAAGATCCATCTGCACAGGCTTGGCTTCTGCATCGCTGGTCTGAGCTGCAGCACCCTCTTCCCTCACACGCTGCGCTTCTGACATAGCACGGGTACTCACTCCTCTTACGTCCTGCGGCACTAGCGGCATTTTTCTCCAATCCCACTTCTGACATAAATGTTACGTGCCTGACGTCACGTTCCTGACTATGCGGGCTTGGGTTACGGGATTGGATGAAATGAAACACTAATACCGGTTTTCAGACTTTCTATTGCGCTTAAGTTACAGCGTCCACGGAGTTAAGTTATCGGCGTTCCTCTCCAGCAGAGTCCGGCCGACTGACACAACTTTGCCGTTCACGCTAACTTCACTTAACTGACTGCACTTCACTATTTCACTGCACTTCACTATTTCACTCACTTTTCTTCTTTTTCACTTCTTCCTTTTCTTCCGAATCGCTTTAGACTTAGAACTCAACTGCCAGCGGTGAGCCGCAGTTCCGCTTATATACCCCCGGTCAGGTTCTAGAACATTCAATTTCGTTATTTTTTTTTGATCGTCATGCCTCCAGAACCTTCCAATAATTTCGTTATTCATTTTTATATATTCTCCTTCTCGCTCCTTAATTTTTCATTACTTTCACTCAAATATTCCAGAAAGTTCGACAAAACTTCCATCAACTAAAAAACTTCATGTTTACGGCGGGACTCGAACTCGGGGTCTCTGTGGTGTAATCCACACGCCTTACCGATTACACCAACTCGTGTTGACAATTCACGACGAAATTTACAATCTCTAGGCAACGTTTGACAACCATCCATTGACGTCATGATGTCAGAGTTTTCTGTCACAATATCTTCACACGTTATTTAAAACGAATGAATACTTATCTCTGGCTAGCCCAATGGAAGACGGGGGCGTGAATATAATTCTTATATTGATGTGGGATTCGTATCGGTGTTCAACAGAAAGCATGTTCAGGTAGATTTTCAAGGCTTTCAGGTGCTTTTTTCGGGTAATTAATACTTAATCTCTCGTCCGCCGTCGTATGCAACACAATTGAAAACACATTGAGTCTCGCGTAAACGCAAGTTTCACTTTAACTTCTACTTTCACACACACACACGCACACACAAACGGCTCACTCATATCACGGCTTAAAAGACACGTAGTCAAGTTGACAGTTGATAAAAAAAGTACGTTTGTCAATGGAGGAATTTTAGCTGTCAAAATCATAAGCAATGTTGTTTCTATTGAGCTAGGACTCGTATCGTTTATTATTAATTATTATTGCAAAAAGTGTGAATTTTATTGTATTATAATCGATTAAATTTGCGTAGTTACAGTGTAGCTTACATTTTTAGGTTCGTTGTCTGAAAAAGGCATAAAAATGGATGACAATAACGTGGAACAAACGCCTGCTTCTCAAAGGCTCACTAATGAAGATTTTAGGAAGTTGCTGATGACCCCGAGGGCTACGCCTGGAGGCTCTGGGGGATCCCACCCTGCGGGCTCAGTGCGCGAAGCCATGGCAAATTCTGGGTAAGAAAAGTTTAGATTATAGGTGATGTAAACATGTTTGTAGAACCTTGGTATTATTCAGATGTTTTATTAACCTGGTACTTTGGGTCAGCTCATTATATCCTTATAGATTTATTTTGATGAGCAGTCATTATATAAATTGTTTTTAATCGACTTTTATTGCAGTACAATGTTGCTTCAGCCAATCTTCCTATTTCAAAATTTAATGTACCATTTTCTCAATCTGATCACACATTAAATTATTTTATAGATTTTATTCGTGTTCGTTATGTTTAATGTTCACAAGAAATAAAAAATCATTGAAAATAAAGACTAACTTGACTTAACAGAGAAAAGTTTTACTCTAAGCCACAATGTGTATATCACATTCTGACGCGTTTTTCAATAAACAAATAATTCACTCCACAATTACACATAATGATGTATTAATAGTATTTCATTCTAAAATTATATTTCCAAACTTTCCAGCTCAATGCCACCACCTGCGGAGAACAAAGGAGAATTACGTAGAAAAAAGAAGTCTTACTATGCAGCTTTAAAGAAACAAGAAGACAATAAGTTAGCGGAATTGGCGGAGAAGTATAGAGACAGAGCAAGGGAGAGAAGAGATGGAGTTAATGAATTGGGACCCATGGATCCTACCAGTAACACTAGCAGCGCATACAGGTGAATTTTTTGTTTGTAGCTTTACTGAAGTACCTCAATCTCAGTAGACCTTGCCACAGGCCCTTAAAGAGCTGGAGGGATGAATTTGACAACTACGGCAAGGTTGCACACAGACTATAAGGTTGCATCAGACTAACTGGAAGAATTGCAGCACTTGAAATGGACTCTTTCTGAAGACAGGCTCATAAGTGTCAGGTTACAACCAGCTCAACTAACGTGTTATTAATGCAACACCAATGTCTAATCAAATACACACAAATGTCTTGTCGGCCGATTATGGAATGGGAGGGAAGATTTGAGCATCCTGTAACCTCACTTATATGGCAAAAGTCAAAATAATTTATTTTAATTAGACCCGTATAGGCACTTTTGAACATCAAACAAAACTTCAATATAAAAAGTGTCAAACTGTAGATTCCAATGGAGAAGAACAAGCAAAAAACTCCATGCTTGCTCTTTTTAAATCAGTTTCACATACAGATTTAATGATACTTACATTATTAATTTGGCATTTGAAATTAACTTACAGAGCGGTTGCCCCAGACTTGAAATCAGGAATGGACGCCAAAGAGAGAAGGAGGCAGTTAATCCAGGTTTGTATAGCTAATCACCAGATGACCAGCTTCACATTATATATTTTTTTTTATATATACTTTATTGCACACATACACCAAGTAGCAATACATTGGATACTATGACCGAATGTTGTGATTACAATGGGCGGCAATGCAAATGCTATTTATGCTTCTTTATCTACAAGTGATAGACACACAATGACTTATGCAATGTAAATCCTGTTCTTAGTGAATTATGGGTCCAATGATGTAGGAGGTTGACCATAAAGTCAAAGTTAAAGTCAAAAATCATTCATTCAAATTAGACCCTTACAGGCACATTTGAATGTCAAACAAAATTTTGAAGATATAGTGTCAGTCATGTAAGCTGTTTGCTCGTTCCAAAGTGTAGATTCCGATGGCGAAGAACGAGCAAGAAACTCTATATCCATTGAAATCTAAATAAATTTAAGTGTGGGAGAGCCATGCTTCGGCACGAATAGGTCGGCTCGACCGGAGCGTTACCACGGCCTCACAGAAAACCGGCGTGAAACCACCACAGCGTTGTGTTTCGCCGTGTGAGTGAGGTTACCGGAGGCCCAATCCTTCCCCTTCCCCAATCCCTGCCCAGTCCCTAAATCTCCAAATCCCTAATCCCTAAAAGGTCGGCAACGCACTCGTAACTCATCCGTTGCGGGTGGTCCATGGGCGGCGCTGATTCACACGACATCAGGTAATCCGTTTGCCGACCTATTACATAGAAAATAATAATAATAATAATTTGTTTGACCTAGGAATCGTATCGAGGACCTCTTGGTACCCTTGAAACAATGAATTAATTTTTTACAAATAGCCCATAAAATGACAACGCTAAGAAGAAACCAGATACCAACCAAGCATTATATACTCTTTGGAGATTTCATGATTTTTCATAGTGTTAAATGGTTTTTTTTTCAGGAATCCAAATATCTCGGTGGTGACATGGAGCACACGCATTTGGTGAAAGGTCTCGACTACGCACTCCTTCAGAAGGTATGTGGAGGAATAACTGATATTACATATATTTAAAAAATAAAGAATGTAGAAAAAAATTTGAAGAGCCTAGCTTTGGCACGCTTGAGGCTGTGGGTTGGAAACCTGGCAAGTACCAATGTGTAACTTTTTCCGAGTTATATATACTTTCTATGATTATTTAGACACCACTGACATACGGTGAAGGTAAGCATCGTGAGGAAACCTGGACTTATAATTTCTAATAATAAGTTTGAAATTCCCAACCCGCATTGAGCAAGCGTGGTGATCAATGCTCTAACCTTTTCCGTATGAGAAGAGGCCTTTGCTCAGCAGTGGGCACTTATAGGCCGACCCATTCATCATCATCAGATGATGATAGCTTCGGCACGAATGGGTCGGCTCGACCGCAGTGATACCACGGCCTCATAGAAAACCGACGTGAAACAACCACAGTGTTGTGTTTCGCCGTGTGAGTAAGGTTACCAGAGGCCCAATCCTTCCCCTCCCCCGATCCCTCCCCATCCCTAAATCTCCAAAACCTAATCCCTAAAATGTCGGCAACGCACTCGTTACTCCTCCGTTGCGGGTGTCTATGGGCGGCGCTGATTACCATCAAGTATGCCGTCTGCTCGTTTGCCGACCTATTTCTTATAAAAAGTTTATAGTTAAATATTATTTATCCAAACTTATATTTTAAATGTGAAAGTAACTCTGTCTGTCTGTCCTAAACTACTGAGCCGATTCCTATGAAATTTGGTACAGACATAGATTGGAACTCGAGAAAGGACATAGCATAGTTTTTATATAAAAAATTGCAGAAAGTCACTATTCCACGCGGGCAAAAGTTCGTAATGAGTAGTTGTAAAATGTGATAGATCAATTAAAAAAAAAAGGAATTTCATTTATTTTTTTTGTATAGTAAATAATCGAATTTGTGACCGGTTACGATTATGTTTTTAGGTGAGGTCCGAGATTCAAACCCGGGAGCAAGAACAGGAGGCCGAGATGGAACGGCTGGTCACTACACCTGTGGAGCCAGTTAAGGAGAAGAAGGAAGTTCCTGTCGTGAGTACCTACCTATTGTTATATTCTAAGTCAAATCATTTACTTCAAATATACACTACTAGCTAATCTCGCGCGTGTCACCCGCTGCTCGGCTCCATTTAATCGTAGCGTGATATTTAATATCCTATAAACTCATGAATATTGTAACTATCTATCAGTGAAAGAATTTTGGAAATTCGACCAGCAGTTCCATAGATTAACCCCGACATACAAACTTACAAACATGAACGGCCTTATTACAAAACAGGTATTTTACTTTAGTCTAGGACTAAATCATTGAGCCAGTTTTCGTATTTCGAATTGAAGGTAGATGACAATAAGATTCAAAATTCAAAACCCGACTCAATGGTTTAAACCTGGACTATAGATAAACCTTGTTTTGTAATAAGGGGGACGAACTATACCTCTTTATAATATCAGTATAGATTGAACGCCAAACAAAGAAATGAAATCAAACAGTTCAACTTTGTGTGTCAGTCTAAGTCAAGTGAACCTATTTGCTCGTTAAAAAGTGTAGATTCCGATGGAGATTATTTTTTTACTGTCAGCCACTAACAAACCTTGCCTCAAAGAGCTAGTAAACAACCACAGACAGGGCCCTACAGGGCCGATGTTCAGCAGGGGATGTGGGGTACGCGCAATGTGGCACCGCGGCATCGACCGAAAACAGGAGAAGGAACGGAGGGGAGGGGGGGGGGGGTTAGTCAGTAAGAGTCTGACACTCCCTCTCGCTTCACCCTGGGCGCGAGATATCATTGGATGATTTTCCCGTCACAAAAAAGCCAATAACAAATCTATACTTCTATACTATAATATTGTATGTATTGTTAAACTGTAGAGTTTGATTGTTTGTTTGTTTGAACGCGCCAATCACCGAAACTACTGGTTAGAATTGAATAAATCTTTTTAAGTTTGTCAGTCAATTTATTGATAAACGCTATACAGGTTATAAAATATCACGCTATGATCTGTGGGAACTGAGCGGCGGATGAAACCGCGCGAGAGTAGCTAGTAATATTGTAAAGGTGTAGAGTTTGTTTGTTTGTTTGAACGCGCCAATCTCCGGAAATACTGGTTCGAAATTAACAACTCTTTTAAGATTGTTAGTCCACTTATTGAGAAAGGCAAGGTTATAAAATATCACGCTTTGATCTGTGGGAGCTGAGCAGCGGGTGAAACCGCTCTGTAGGAGCTAGTATAATAACGGTAAAATTATTTTACAGGAGGAAGAGATGCAATTTGAGACGGCAATGGGAAAAAACATCTTCAACATGATACAGGAACAAAAGTAAGTCTAGATTTAACATAACAGCTAATTTGGCGCAGGTACCTTAGAGCTGATTTTTCAATAGTCATATAAATATTATATGAGGAATAAAATTGTTGCTGTCACTGTCTTATACAAACATTCTGTCGCGACAGCATCATAATTATTCCCCAGGTAAATTTTGTCTAACAATTGAAAATCAGCCCGTACTGGTTCGAATCTTAATCGTTGTTTTTTTCCCTGGAAATCCAAACTATATTATAAATGCGAAAGTAATTCTGTCTGTCTGTTCTTTTATTCACGCCTAAACTACTGAACCGATTTCTGTGAAATTTGGTACAGACATAGCTTGGAATTCGAGAAAGACATGAGATAGTTTTATACAAAAAATCGTCAAAAAGTCACTATTCCGCGCGAACGGAGTCGTGAGCAAAAGCTAGTATTCATATTAAATATTTTTGTATCTTTACTAAGTAATTGGAATTAGGCAATATTTCAATGAAACTAATTAGATTTCCACAATAACATAATATTTTTAAATTTAACTAAAACTGCGATCACTTTCGGCACGGGAAGATGACAACAGAACCACCGGTGGCAGAAAAACTTAACTTATACTTGAATGTTTACAAAGGCACTTACTTATTTACTTTGTTTTTATCTGTCTAATCTACTATATATGTAAAATCAATGCAAATTTTCGTTGTAACTGAACAATGCCTATACCGATATGGCTAATTTTGGTCTTAAAAATTTGTAAGTAGAAAAAATTAAAGTGTAAAATCAACATCCACGCGGGAGGAGCCGCGAGCGGCCGCTAGTACTTTATTTATTTATTCAATATTTGCCCTTTGATACACACACTAGGATTCAATACTGTGTTTTACACAACCAGACATGAAACAACAATTTTTGAATCATTCAAAGAGTTGTTCTGTGTGGCATAATCACCAAACTTGGGAGAGTTATTTATTCTTAACCACACCAACGCAAATATAATGAAACTTCCCTCTTCAGATCTCATTTACATTAATCACCACACTTGGCAGACTAACAAATCTCTAACCAGACAATTTAAAACAGGAACAAGAAAGTGGTTCGCAACGAAATGTTTGCACCCGGCCGTATGGCTTACGTGGTGGAATTGGAGGATGAGGGGGGAGCGGACAGTGACATCCCCACCACTTTGACGAGGAGTAAGGCGGATGTCCCCGCCCCGGACACCAGGAGCTCCGCCGCGGCAGCCAATGACGTCGTGTTGGATAAACTTGCCCAAATCTTCTCGTACCTAAGACATGGAAGGCATCGGAAACTTAAAAAAACCAAAGGGGTATGTATGAAAATATATAATATGACTAGCGGACCGTACCACCATCCACATACAAAATTTCAGCGAAATCGTGAGTGCCGTTTCCGAGATCACAGTCATGCTTTTTCAACCAATTAGCGCCATCTGCTGGGCTGATTTGTGAATCTAAACAATCCAGGGCGTCACTCAAGCGCATGCATGCATTTAATTCAGTTAGGTGCCTGAAGTAGGAAAATCTGTATTTCAAGCGAGAGTTAGTATAAAATAGGATAGGTCGGACAATGTGTAGATGGATTACCTGATGGTAAGCAAATGTTGTCGCATATGCACACCCCATCGCCAGAAGAGTACTGTACGTGTGTACAGCAGAATTATATACTTGTATAAAGATAATATTCTCGAATATACACAGTGGCGACGCACATACATTGACAACAATCTTCAACAGATGGCGTAATAATTAGTGACTTTTGCACGCTAATAAACACTTTTAGCAAATCGCAACGTATAACTGTTGGGCAGTATATAGCTCGCCTCGCCTGCTCGGAGGATCCGATATCAGGGAACTTTATTATCAGTCCCCTAAACATTTTGGCTTAACCTCTCGTCTGCCGATATATGGGACAATAGAAAACACATTGTATTTCTCATAGATATCCGCTTCGGCATATCACGGGTTAAAGCTATAGTAAGTTCAGAATAATAATAATTCAGTTAGGTGCCTAAAGTAGGAAAACCTGTATTTCAAGCGAGAGTTAGTATAAAACGGGATAGGTCGGACAATGTGTAGATGGATTACCTGATGGTAAGCAAACGTTGTCGCTTATGCACACCCCCATCGCCAGAAGAGTTTGGTAAGTATGTTGCCGGCCATTTGGGGATGTGGCATTCAAGAATTGCGGATCGGGGGCGATTACTGGTGAAGTTTCCAAACCTATAATAGCTCTAGTATATTAAATAAATTTGAATATTTAATAAAAAAATAAAATCTTTTTCTAGCCAATTGCAAAGAAATAAGTTGATCCGTAAAAAAATAAAAATACAATGACGTCACAAATTGCTATTTCATACAACATTTTAAGAAAACAATAGTTTTGACATTCGTAAAAATAATATTGAATCTACCTAGTTGATAACAAACCAATGATATTGCACGATTTATCCACTTAAATATTTAACAACGCACATAAGCTGCGTGACGATCGCATATCAACTATAATACTTATGTTTGTAGACCCCGGACGTGACTTGAAACTAATCAGGTTACTCCGTCAAATATTAACGGGACGAGCTAATTAATATTAATTTTACAGGATAAGCCATCGGAAAAGGGTCGTGCAGATGATTCCATTTATGGAGAGATCGGCGAGTATAATCCTGGGGAACGACAGGAGCGGCGCGACGACAGGGCCCGTACCGGCGCCGGCGGGTACTTCGACAAGCCAGCCGATGCTGATGACAAGATGATGGATGGTGAGACCTCTGCTTAACTATGAACTTACAATAAAACTATATTTTTCATTTTAAATACCGTCGTTAACATTGCAATTAGTTCTATATCAAAAATGACAAGTTTTACACGAGGGTAAAAAAAACAAAATGTCGAATGTTCGAAATTTAAATTAAAGCGTATCTAAGTAATAAACAAAAATATGTTTTTTGTCATTTAACAAAGCGGGTAGTTTTCTACGTCAAAAATAAATTAATTATTACGTTTCAATACAATACAATAAAATATTGAATATTGAATGATACACTAACACCCGGTTTCTGAAAGGCCGATCAATGTTAAAATCAATTTAATCTCTTGTCAAGTTATGTGATTGGTTGACTGAATTATCAACAACCAATCAGATGACTCGACAAGAGATTTAACAGGAGATTAGTTAATTTTAGCGTTGACAAGGATTTCAGAAACCGGGTGTAAGTTTTAGGTATTTTGTAGCTAATTATTAAGAAATAAGTAAGCTATTTGACACGAAAATACTATGACGCCATAACTCATTTTTTTCATACTAATTTCATAGAAAAGTATCGTTTTTGACATTTGTATAAGAGTATTGAATTTGACTAGTTGGAAAGTACCGAATTGCAAGCTTAACGACTATATTACAAGCCCCGGCTTCGCATGGGTGCAATCCTAATACTAAATCTGAAGAAGAAAGAAGATGAAAAGGAAGGATTGCACAATTGCATTAAAAAAATTAAGTGAAGAATAACTGGTGTAATTAATATGTTGTATAGTATCGGATCCGGTCCGCGGTCGAGTGCCCGAGGTGTCGCGCCGGTCGGCGGCGCTCCTGTCGCGGCTGGCGGCGGAGCCCCAGGGCTACGCCGAGTGCTACCCCGGCCTCAGAGAGATGGACGACGCCATCGATGATTCAGATGATGAAGTGGATTACACAAAAATGGATGCCGGCAATAAGAAGGGACCGATTGGTAATTATATTTTTAATTTTTTATTATTTTTTTAAACTTTGCGCAACATTAGGACTTTCTTCTGTGTTGTGGGTGCGGTTACAAACATACAATATCACATACACATGACACCCAGACCCGAAACAACAATTTGTGGATCACACAAAGAGTTGTTCCGTGCGGGAATCGAACCCGCGACATGTTTCACGGCAGCCAGTTGTCCAGCCAACCGTGCAGTCAAATTATATACTTTAGTTATGTCTAATTATTATTCTGGTAGGTATATATTCATGTATAATGTCGTGGTGGCCGGAGGTTACGGCGTCCGCTTCACATGCATGAGTTGTTTGAACAATTCAATTATTATTAATGTGACTTTTTCCAAGTTATATATTATGTACTTTTCTAAGATTATTTAGACACCACACACACATGGTGGAGGTAAACATTGTGAGGAAACCTGGACTTATAATTTCTAATTATGAGTTTTAAATTGCCAGTTCTCTTTGAGCAAGCGTGGTGATTAATGCTCTAACCTTCTCCGTGTGATAAGAGGTTTCTGCTCAGCAGTGGGCACTTATCCCCTCAGCTGTGGAACGGACTCCAGGAGTCCTCTGTCAAAATGGGCGGATCTGTGTACAGCGCTCCTGGAGTCCGCTGCGACCCGTCGCTTTATTTTATCGTTTAATGACGTAAATCTGTACCTTTCCTGCTCTAACTTGCACGAAGTGTATGAAAAAGAACAAGAACTATGCATAAGTTCACATTTTAAGTCTCTAGAACGCACTTGTGACAGATACTAGACGTTTAAAAAGTAGTCTCCTAAATGAGGCGTTTTTTTAAAGCTTGTTTCTGTAAAAAAAAATTATGGCGAGTAGTGTTTATTTTTACTAATTAATGTGAAGTCACATGTATATAAGTGAAGAAAATTAAAGTTTTTAAAAATAATTGTTTATTTTTGCTATTGTAACGACTTTTGTACCAAACTGGGAAAATAGTAGCTCAACCGATTTCAAATAAGGATTAATTATACATTACAAATTGAAACTGGACCAGTACATTTTTTTATGTTAGCTTATTTCCTTACGATTCCAAATATATAAGCTTTATATAAGCTTCTATACAAAAGGTTTGAGATATTGTAATTTTAAACACACGCGCCGGTATCGCGCGGACCACCCACGAAGTGCTTACACAGATCCGCCGAATCGCGAAAAATGGCCGCCACAGCTGAGGGGATATAGGCTGATGATGACGAATAAAATGTGTGTTTTTTATGTAATAGGGCAGTAAAAGAGGAGACTGATCGCTTGATGATAAGCAATCAGCGCCGCCCTTCGAAATCTGTAATGTTTTAGGTTAAGGTTTTGAGGATTGGTGATGGAGGACGATGTGGTAACTTTACACTGGTTTTCAGTGAGGCTTTAAATATAACTCGAGTATTCGTGCTACAGCCTCGCAGAAAACCGAACGAAACAATGCTAGCGTTGTGTTCAGCAAGAATGAAGTTCCACGGCTTCATAAAAAACCGACTCGAAACAACGGTGCTTTGTGTTCCATAGGACTGAAGTTGCTGGAAGGTTCATCCCTTCTCCCCCCATCAATAATCCTCAAATCTCCAACCACACTTTTATCTCTTTGTGTTAATACGCGATGCTGATTGCTTACCATCAGATCCATCCGACCTTTCCCACAAAAAACCCCCCATGAGACAAAAGCGTAACTTAATGTCAATATATTTTTTGACTGCACGGTTGGCGCGGTGGCTGGGCAACTGGCTGCCGCGCAACGTGACGCGGGTTCGATCCCCGCACGGAACAACTCGTTGTGTGATCCACAGATTATTTTCCGGGTCTAGGTGCATGTGAAATTGTATGTTTGTAAACGCACCCACGATACAGGAGAAAATCCTAATGTGGGGCAATGTCTAATAAAAAAATATTAACCCTATCATTCATGTCGTCCAGGTCGTTGGGACTTTGATACCCAGGAAGAGTATTCAGCGTACATGAGTAGCAAGGAGGCGCTTCCGAAGGCCGCCTTCCAGTACGGAGTGAAGACACAGGACGGACGGAAGACGAGAAAGACAAAAGACAAGAGCGAAAAAGCCGAACTCGACAGGGAATGGCAACAGGTAATAATATACACATCTATACTAATATTATAAAGAGATAAAATTTGTAAGTTTGTATGTAGGGAGTAATCTTTGAAACCGCTGGTCGGATTGCCAAAATTCTTTCACTGATAGATAGCTACAATGTCTCTGAGTACTATATGTCATATGTTCAGCTCTATTTGATCGTAGCGTGATGTTTTATAGCCTAATGTCGTGGTGGCCCGTATTAATACACGCACTTTCAGTTAATGACATATATATTTATATATTTTTCTTTTCTTTTGACAAGCGTCAAACAGGTTCACAGACAAAACATAAATACTCATTTTGTTACTCAATATAACACCCCTACTTAACAAAATGTTCCTAAAATAACAATTAACAAACATTAATTAGGAACCAGACCTATCAATTCTAAAAATTTATAATGCTTTGTTGACAGTAAACCTTTCGTCAGAATATCAGCTGGCATCTCTTGAGTTGACACATATTGAACATCAATTAAATTAGATTTTATGGCATCTTTAACATAATGATAACGCACATCAATGTGCTTAGTCCTATTAAGAGACTGGTGATTTTTAGCTAGTTTCATTGCACTTTGATTGTCGCAATGTAACTTCACAATGTTCAACTTGCCTGTCAATTCATACCACAAATTTCTTAAATAAATAGCTTCTCTTGCTGCCTCAGATAATGCGACATACTCAGCTTCGGTACTCGATAAAGAGACCGTTTTCTGTTTTCTGCTCTGCCAAGATATAACAGAACCGGCCATAACAAAGCAGAAACCAGTGTATGATTTCCTGTCCAAAACATCACTCGCCCAATCAGCATCGACAAAACCTTTCAAATCTACATTATTATCTTTACAATATTTCAAACAATAATGTTTAGTTTTCTGTAAATACTTCAACACTCTTTTAGCTTGACTGTAGTGAGTTTCATTATAGCAATTATTAAATTGACTTAGATAACTTACAGTATATGCTATGTCAGGTCGAGTCAAGACAGCTAAATACATAAGACTACCTATAAGTCTTTGATAAGGAATCTCTGTTATACATTTTTCAGCCTTTTCAAGATTCATTTTACTTTCTATCGGAGTATCCATGGGTTTACAATTATACATTCCAAATTTAAGCAACAACTGTTCAATATACTGTTCTTGGTCTATTGTTACAGTACTTGACTTTCTGTCTACATTCACTCTCATGCCTAAATAGCGTTTTACACAGCCTAGATCTTTTATTCTAAACTTTGAGCTTAATGTAGCCTTCAAATTATCAGTAGCTTTTTTACAGGTCGAAAATATCAGAAAGTCATCAACATAAACAGCTACAATCATTTTTATGTTGTCACTAAATTTTGTAAATAAACATGGTTCATTAGAACTCATTTTAAAACCCAACTCACATAAACAATCTTTGACTCTCTTATACCACATTAAAGAAGATTGTTTCAAACCATATATAGCTTTCTTAAGTTTTAAAACTTTCCCTTTCTCTTTGCATTCAAAACCCACAGGAAGATACATAAAAATATTTTCATTTAAGTGACCATTAAGAAATGCCGTGGTCACATCTAAATGTGAAATATCCATATCCCACTGTACACTTAGAGCAAATAACATTCTAAGGGTTGAATGTTTCACTACAGGAGCAAATGTGTCTACATAATCAATGCCACGTTGTTGTGAGAAACCTTTAGCTACGAGTCTAGCCCTATATCTTACTTTATCATTAACATCTAATTTCTTATTGAAAACCCACTTGCATTGCACTATGTTAGTGTCACTTGGTATATCAACGAGCTCCCATGCATCGTTGTACTCGAATGACTGCAACTCTTCACGCATGGCCAGCTTCCAGTTTTCAGCTTCAGGTCCATTCAGCGCTTCTGAAAAGTCAATCTCCGCGGTTCCAGGCAAGTTACTTGAAGTACACAAGTTTGTATAACCATAGCGGTTTGGAGGTCTTCTTTCTCTCTTACTTTCAACTATTTCATCAATTCCAAGATCTTGAATCTCACCTTGTGAAATATCTGTTGATGTAACAGAATCAGTTGATGTGTCAACACAAGTCTCCTCTGGGTCCATATAAGCTGATGTGTCAGAACTTTGACTAGTCAGAGATTCATTTATGTTAATATCCCCCACTGAATCTCTGCTCTCTATGCTAGATTGTTGCATGGTTTGTGTTGTTTCAGTCTCCTCTCTTAGACTCAAGTTCTTTTCTTCACATTGTGGCCATATAGCGGTTTCTTCTGTAGTTTCTATACCTTGTTTTTCTTCCATCACTATTATATCTCTTTTCAATGTGACAACATTTCTCTTCGGATCATAGACACGATATCCCTTTACATTTTCAGACAATCCAACAAGTATGAACTGTTCTGCTTTCTTATCCCATTTCGATCTTTGTTCTTTGGGAACATGTACCATAACTGGACTTCCAAATAGACGTATGTGACTTAAGTCAGGTTTTCTTTGATGCCACATTTCATAGGGTGTTTTGTTAACTAAACTAGATGTAACAGATCTATTTTTCAGGTAAACTGCAGTATTCACAGCTTCTGCCCAAAATTTCTTATCAAGTTTTGCTTCAAATAACAAACATCGTCCCTTTTCAATCACAGTTCTGTTGGCTCTTTCACAAACACCATTCTGTTCTGGGGTATATGCAATAGTCTTTTGATGAATTATCCCTTCATTTGCCAAATAGTTGTCCATTACACGATTGCAAAATTCGCCTCCATTGTCAGTACGCAATACTTTAATCTTCTTATTCTGCTGGTTCTCTACCATAGCTTTAAATTCCTTAAATTTCTGAAAAACTTCATATTTGTGTTTGAGAAAATAAATGAATGTCATCTTGCTGTAGTCATCCACAAAGAGCAGGAAATATCGTGAACCATTTATAGACTTGGTCTCCATAGCCCCACAAACATCTGCATGGACTATTTGAAGTGTCTCCGAGCTGGTATGTTCACTATGTGCAAATGGCAGCCTTGTTTGTTTGCCTTCGCAACATGTTACACAGTTCTCCTTCTTTAAGTCACTTGGAGAAGCAAAGTTCACACCTTCTACGATGCCATTTCTCATTTTATTCAAATCGCTACTATTGATATGTGCCAAGCGCTTGTGCCATAAATCTGCACTTACCAATGCTGGTGCGGCTAACATACAATCTGTTTTTATATTTAACTTGTAAACACCATTAGTCAAATGTGCCGTGGCTACCAATTCATTCTTCATATTACGAATGTAGCAATTGTTACTCTCAAACACAACTTTGTTTCCGTTTTTGATGAGCTCACTCACTGATAACAGATTTGTTGACAATTTCGGAATACACAAGACATTCTTCACCGTAATGTTGTAGTTGCGATCTGTAGTTATTTTCACGTCCCCGGAGCAAATTACGGGTATCTTTGTACTGTCGGCTACCGTAATTTCTGTTAAATGTGGCGTAAGATTTGCGTTTTCTATCCAATTTTCATTAGATGTCATGTGCGCACTTGCACCGGAGTCTACGTACCACTCGCTCTTAATATACTTTCCATTCAGAAATACTACACTAAACGCATTCGTATCTTTATTTTTCTGCAGTAACGGACATTGATTTCTAAAATGTCCAATTTCTTTACATTTGTAACACGAAACCACTTTTTTTGACTGCTGTTTTGAAGCCATTTTTGTTGCTTGTTGTTGACAGCCACTTTTTTTTGAATTGTTCTGTGTCTTCGAGTACATTTTGTTTGCAGCGAATGCAGCGCCACCGTTTTCCAAATTCAAAGAAACTTCCAAATCAATAAGTTTTGATTTTATTGAGTCTGTAGTAATCTGTATTCCCGAATGTTCTATCGCCATGATCATTGGCGAATACTTTTCTGGCAACCCTGCTAATAATAGCGAACCAATCCATTCATCTGTTATAGCGAATCCGGTACCTTTTAATCTTTGTGCTGTCTCGACAACTTGCGTGACATAATGAGTCATAGAATCACAGCTTTCTTGCCTGATTGATATAAGATGTCGCAGCAAAGAGATTTTTCTTGAAAAACCGGAGTCGGCGAACATGTTTTTCAATTTTGTCCATAGTTCCAACGAGGTTTTTGTGTCCTTGATATGAACATACAGTCCTGAATCAATGGTTAAAATTAGCTTTGCCTTAGTCCTTTCGTCATCTGCAGACTTGATATCCGTGCTGGACACAGCTGGTTTGATGTATTGAATCATACCTTCCAGCACTAACAAGTTCTCTGCTGCGAAACTCCACTCATCATAATTTTCCCTTCCCTTCAGTTTGGGAACACTTTGTAAATAATTCATAGCCATTATTCACGAAAGTTCAGCGTTTTTCTTAAACCGTAACACAAGAATTACTTAAGAAAATCAGGATATTAGCCCATAACCTATTAATACACGCACTTTCAGTTAATGACATATATATTTATATATTTTTCTTTTCTTTTGACAAGCGTCAAACAGGTTCACAGACAAAACATAAATACTCATTTTGTTACTCAATATAAGGTTAAGGAACCCGCTTCTCATGCATGATGGCGTGGGTTCGAAACCTGCCAAGTACTAATGTGACTTTTTCCGAGTTATATGTACTTTCTTTAACCTGACTCAGATAATTTCTAATTACAAGTTTGAAATCGCCAACCCGCATTGCAAGCGTGGTGGTTAATGCTCTAACCTTCTCCGTGTGAGAAGAGGCCTGTGTTCAGCAGTGGGCACTTATAGGCTGATGATGAAGGCATGTAAAAAAAGAAAAAAAAAGTTTTTTTTGCAAATTTTTAACAATAATAAGTATGCTATTCGACGTAAAAATACTATGACATCATAATTTCGAGTTTCATACAAATTTCATAGAAAATTATCGTTTTTGACATGTAGATAAAAGTATTGAATTTGACTAGTTGAAAACTACCGTATTAAAAATAATATATGTACTCTTAAACGATTGTTACAGATTCAGAATATAATTCAGAAACGCAAGGCGCCTCAAGCTGTTGATGAACCTTCATACAAGTCAGCCAAATACTAACCTTCCAGAAAGCCCATAGGAGACATGAAAAAGTAAAAAAATACTTGAAAATAATGGTTAAAGAGACCCGACTATGGGCGAACCAGGGTTGATAAGATTATGAAGATGGAGAAAGTCAGCTTAGGATGTTGTTATTGACATCCCTACACTGCCGTTGAGGAATTTTAGGCAGTCACTTTAACAGATTGAGAACATCTAACTAACGATAAATTAAATTAAAAACGATATTTCAAACAACTGTCTTGAGACATACTAGATTTATTGAAAATAACGAACGACTGTTTTTTTTTAATGTAGTACGTCGGCAAAGGAGCTGACGGATTACTTGATGGTAAGCAATCAGCGCCGCCCATGGACACCGAGGAGTTACCAGTGCGTTGCCAACCTGTTAGGAATTAGGGTTTTGGAGATTTAGGGATTGGGGGAGGGCAAGGATTGGGCCTCTGGTAACCTCACTCACTCTAATTCCCAAAAGGTTTGTAACGAACTCGTAACTCTTCCGTTGTTGCGTGGCCATGGACGGCGCTGATTGCTTACCATCAGGTAATCCGACTGCTAGATTGCCGGCCTATCACTTGAAAAAAAACTCACGTGAATTAACTGAAAAAACCTTTACTAGTTTTAAGTCAGTTGGATGCGCGACGTGCATGCTGCTCATGAATAAGAACCCCGTTGTGCCTTGAAACTGGTAGAGTTTACCTTAGTTAATTCAAGTGATTTTGATTCACGTTATTTTTAAAACTATTTTAAACCTTATGACCTCCACGCCACTTCCCAAACAGTAGATTAAGAATGTGTCTACCACCGAATTTAAATTAGATCGGCATTTTTTCTTCTTCACACACATACACACGTAAATTATACACGTTAAGTACGTGTATAATTTACGTGTGTATGTGTGTACTTAATATTTGTATTTTTTTAAGATAATTCAAAAGAAATCAGTAACTTTTTTGACGTAAAAGAATTATGACGTCACAACGTGTGCTTTATCATACGAAATTTATACAATTTTCGATTTTGTCATTTCTCTAATAGTATGGAATTTTATTAGTTGGAAACTACTAATTCAAACTAATATTATAAGTGCGAAAGTAACTCTGTCTGTTTGTCTTTTCTTCACGCCTAAACTACTGAATCTATTTGTGTGAAATTTGGTACTGACATAGTTTGGAACTCGAGAAAGGACATAAAATAGTTTTTTTTTACCAAAAATTTGCAGGAAGTCACTATTCCACGCGAACAAAGTCGCGGGCAAAAGCTAGTACCTAATAATATATTTTCTGTGACTGTAGCGTGGCGGTCGATAGGTTTGACCTTGAATTAATTAGGTATTGATAGTTTAATATTAAGTCAAATATTGTAAATATACAATAAATATATGAAGAGTGATGTCACCAATAAGGCCTTTTCATTTTGTATCCATACTAGAGCACAGATTACTGAATAGTTACTACGTAAACTAGAGATACGCGCGGTTGCATTCGCTGCTAAACTTAAATTTGACGGAGCGTAACCTTTGATACAAACTAACATTATAAATGCGAAAGTAACTGTCTGTCTTTTCTTCACGCCTAAACCAACTAACCTATTTGTGTGAAATTTGTGTTTTTGGAACTCGAGAAAGGACAAAGGATAGTTTTTATACAAAAAATTTGTCGGAAGTCACTATTCCACGCGAACGGAGTCGCGGGCAAATATAAAGGATTGTTCAATCCGACCCAGTAATTTTAGAGATAAGTGAGCACAGAAAACATTAGTTCTGGAGATTAGCGTGTTCAGAAAATCCTACCTTTATATAAGTACCTAGTTAAGAAGGGATTTGCCCTCCACTTCGTAAGCTTACAATCATCATTCCTCAATCGTAATACGTCCATTCTTTTAAGAGGAGCTTGACTGCACGGTTGGCGGTGTCTGGGCAACTGGATGCCGCTCAACGTGTCGTGCATTCGATCCCCGTACGAGTACGGAACAACTCTTTGTGTAATCAGCAAATTGTTGTTCCGAGTCTGGGTGTGGAGTGTATGTGAAATTGTAGTGTGAGGATTTCTTTTTTTTTAAAGTTTGCCGTTTTCCCCGTGTAGCTACGGAGTTGGCGATCGCAGTTGTCCCTACTACTTAGTCCGGCCCTTTGAAACACAGTAAACTATTGTAAGTACATCGATATTTAAGACCCTGAAAATTGTACTTATAGGTATATACTTATACATATACTACATCTGGATTTCACGTCGGTTTTCTGTTAGGCCATACTTCTATACTACTACTACACTTAAAGCAAAACGTTGCATAGCTGGGGACATTGGCAGATGGAAGATTTATAAGTTCTTGAAAATGGATCTAACTATTATGATTGACTTAAAATTCTAATCTACTTACAAGTTTCGGGCGTATGACAGTGGAACAACAATTATTTGATATGTGGATTTGCCATCGGGAGTCGATTCCGAGACTCCTTGCGTAGTCGACAGTCCAGGCACTGTGCTACTAGTGGCACCTGCGCCTGCGCAATGTTTACATTGTAATCGATAAGTTTCTGCAACCGACTTAAATAATAGATAAATAAATAGCAGATAAGTATTTTATGATAGTTGGCAAAATGCCAGTGCTTAGTAATATTTTATTTATAACTAGCGGCCCGCCCCCGCTTCGCACGGGTCCAATTATCTCGCTATCAAAGGGTCACTTTTTCCTAATCTTCCCCTCTACTTTTCTAATATTTTCTTTGATAAGAACCTTCTCCTGACAATAACAAAAAAAGAATTAGCAAAATTGGTCCAGGCGTTGTTGAGTTATGCGCTTACCAACACATTTTGCGATCCATTTTTATATATCGTCGATTCGACCAACTATGGAAAGGCTTTTGTTTTTTTTATTTCTAACTAGCTTACTGGCTTAGGTACCTATATTCATTGATTATCGCTATCGTGCGGAAATACCTATGTATATTCTTTCACGACGAAAATAAAAGTAGCCTAAGCTACTTTTACTATTGTAACATCAGCCAATCAGACCCATAAAAGTCTACATAGTCAAAAGCAAATAAACATAAATACATTACAAACAGACCTTTTTGGCATGGGCACATGAATAATATTATTATTTTAACGTTTTATTTTCTTTCTTTTTTTTTTGATACTTTATACCTGTTTTTGTTGTATTTTTCTCGTTTTGTTTATTATATTATTGTTGTATTGTGTTCTTATTATGTATTTTTTATACATATATGTACTTGTATTTGTGTCTATTTGTCGAATAAATGTGTTTTATTTCTTTCTTTCTTTCAGACACTAGTTTTATTTATATATCGTTAATAGAAGTAAAATAGGTAGATAGATTTAGATATGTATCTAGTATCATGTATCCAATCATCATCATCATCATCATCAGCAGCCTGTTGTCGTCCACTGCTTGACATAGGCCTCCCCAATTGCACGCCACTGAGCTCGATGTTCAGCTCTTCTCATCCAACCACTGCCAGTCACCCTGCGGATGTCGTCAGTCCACCTAGCTGGAAGGCGCCCTACACTACGTTTGCCTAGACGTGGTCTCCACTCTAGAACACTGTATCCAATGAATGTATCGAACTTTTCTTTAATAAGACCCTTGTTCTTACAATAAATAAATAACAAAATTAAAGATTGATCCATTTCGATAGTTATGTGCTTACAAATATTTGATGACCTTTTTTTGACAATCATTAATTGATTGCTCCCGCCCAGGGTGGAGCGAGATTAAGTGTCTGACTCTTACTGACTAGAAACCATCCCAGTACGGGCCACTGACACCCCAGCCGAAAATATTATATATGGCACCCACTTGAGGGAAGCAGTATATATATATTAGTATCGTATTAGTTATTTGCTGGTCGTATTGATATCGTTAGAGTAACTTTTTGACCACAAGCCCTGAGAGCGTAGGGCACAGTTCTGAGGGCTTGCCAGGAGAGGCAAGAGACTCCAACTTCAGACCTGCCCCCCCAGTTTTTTTTATGTACCTACCTATAAACTTAGCTCACAAGCTTAATTACACGCCTATCTTGCTGTTATGTTATTTCGGTGCATTCATTGCACAGTTTAGACTATTGTTTAGGCGTAAGTTCATACATTAATACCTACATATATTGCAAGTAAAAAAAAAGTAAAAAAAAAACATCTTTTTATCTATTTATTTTTTACTAGCTTCTCTCGCGCGGTTTCACCTGCTGCTCAGCTCGTTTTTGATCGTAGCGTGATGTTTTACAGCCTATAGCAGTCAGGAACTTTGTAGCTATCTATCAGTGAAAGAATTTTGGCATTCCGACCAGCGGTTCCAAAGATTACCCCCTACATACAAACTTACAAATTTTACCTCTTTATAATATTATAGTAAGTATAGATTAGATTTTTTAGGTATTTCTAAAAGGCTGTGATAGAAATATTCTCAATAAATAGGTACAGCATCATGCAAAATGTTTTTTAATTTAAGTGTGGGAGAGCCATGCTTCGGCACGAATAGGTCGGCTCGACCGGAGTGATACCACGGCCTCACAGAAGACCGACGTGAAACAATCACAGCGTTGTGTTTCGCCGTGTGAGTGAGGTTACCGGAGGCCCAATCCTTCCCCGCCCCCAATCCCTCCTCAATCCCTAAATCTCCAAATCCCTAATCCCTAAAAGGTCGGCAACGCACTCGTAACTCCTTTGTTGCGGGTGTCCATGGGCGGCGCTGATTGCTTACCATCAGGTAATCCGTTTGTTCGTTTGCCGACCAATTACATAAAAAAAATGTGGGTATTCAGGCTAGTTGAGTTAGCAAGGTAAATGTTCCCTTGGAGTTCCGGGTGTAAGCGCAATGATGTACAGGGGGTTAACCATTGACATTCAAAATAAGACTGTTTTAATCTTACTTCAGTGTGGGTAAGAGACAGAGCTAGACTACTTGTATAGCTCTTTCTCTTACCCACACCTTGGCCTCGCTCGGAGCAGGAGCAGGAGCAGGGTGGTTTTTATTCAGTAGGTAAGAGTTACTGAGTACTGACTACTTAGAGTTTGACACTCCCTCTCGACCTATCAAGGGCGCGAAAATCAATTAAATGATTTCACTACCTCAAGAAGTCGGTTAAAAAGGACTGCAGGCTTTACTATGTAACTTTTTTTTGTATGTTATGCAAACGTATTTAATTAATTTTAATATTTAATTCATTTCGGTGTGGAAGTCGAAGAATTTAATTACCAACATGAATTATTAATTGTTGATCGAATACGAAAATAGAAGTATTGTATTTACGTGTATATTACATAAATATG